AAGAAGACTTCTTTACTTTCTCAAACTTAAACAAGAATAGCGGCTGAAAGGGAAAGAGAAACCCTCGAAGAGGCGAGCCGGCGAGCGCCCCAAGCTGCTCAAGGCCGCAAGGGAAAGTGCTCGGGACGAAGGGGGACACTTCTTGAGCACAAAGGAGCCCACCGCGGGGTCTCCGGCGACCACCAAGACGGGAGGAAAGAAGGCACCCCGTCGGGGGACGGAGCGGCACACAAACTAATAGAAAACACGTGCGCGGACGGGAGGAAAAGTTAACAAAAACACAACTCTGGTTTCACATCAAACTGCGTGGTGTGCACACCAGGCTGCCTGGTCGTTGCATGAGTCCTTGTGGTGTGACACCAGACTCTCTTGGTGTACCCAACAGGCTGATGTGCGGGTACACCAGCATTTCTGGTGGGCACACGAGGCTGCTGTGCTCGATACATCAGCATCGCTGGTGGGCACACCAGATATTCTGGTGTAACACCAGGATTCTCTGATGTCACACCAGGATTGCCTGGTGTATTTTTCATTAGGGTTGCAATATATATTCAGCAGGATCAGCAAAACTGGGACGAAATACTTCATTTTTTGACCTATGCTTATAACACTGCTCTCAAGAGCCCACGCAATACTCGCCATTCGGCGTGCTTCATGGGCGAGAAGCACTTATACTTCACAATTCTACCGTCCTTACATCAGACCCTGCGTCTGATTATATAGCCAGTCTTCCTCGCCCACCTGAGGAATGTCGCCTACTCGCCCAGCACACCACGGGTATATCGTAACAGCTGCATATCTGCCGGGGCAAGAACACACATCACTACATGACAGACCAAATTTGTGAACTTGTCTTAATCTCCTTTCCCGTTTGATATGTTTGCCGCCCTCCCAAACTGTAATCGCGCTATTTCGGGTCATTACGAAGCCCTTCTTAAACATTTTACATAAACTACGAAGTGTAACCTGCGCTCCCCGTTCCAAACGGCTATTCCCGAAGCACTGATAGTGTCTATGCATGCAGGATAAAATCACACTTACCAAGATCTTATCTTAACTTAGTTCCTTTAGTCACTCAACGTTCTTTTTGGTGTAAGGGGTAAGTGTTACCTTTGGTTTGTTGAACAGTGAACGATTAGTGTGGGTAGGGGAAGAGCGAGAGGAGGCTGTCACGACAATAGAAAACATTCTAGAGGTATTCTCCTGTCTCAATATCACGTATTGCCAGTTTAATTATTTCGCACGTAAAACGTCCCATACAGCTAAAAATCATCAAACGAACACAGTGACGTTTAAGAACTATTCTTTTAAAATATACGGTTTTTTATTTTCTTAGGCCTAATTAAATTTACTTAGGTGTCACAAAACAGTTCGTTCTGAGGGTTTGATTTTTGAGAAAAAAAAATAGCCTTCATGCATGCAGTCGAAGACAGGTGGGAAAAACATATTTGTTTTTGACGCTGCCACTTCAATAGTACATAACTTGGAAACAAAAGGTCCGCCAAGCTTCAAGTTTGCGCCTCTTCAGTTCAAGAATTCTCACAAAACATATATGTTCGGTCAAACTTGAAATTGAACCTCAAACCAGGTTTCAATTGAAAAAAAAAACACCCATATATATTTGATTAGAGGATGACCGTCATCACCAGTAGGATAAATAAATAGCTTTTTATAAAATTTCGTCAATGTTTAATAGTGATGTTGTAATTCCAGCTGTAAAGGAGGTCATTATTAATAATCGTGAGATATGACTCAGAATAGTATAATAACGCGATCCTGGATCACATTTTTTTAATACCAAATGGCCATGCATGAATGCAATTTTCAAAATTTGAGCCACAAAAAAGACTTAAAACCCACGTTGCTACTCCTTTAATATTAAAAATACCAGCCCTTACAGCGTAGCCATTCGAAAGATTAAGATTAAATGCTATTATCAGAACATTCGCGGTTTGAGGACAAAAGCAGATGACTGTATGTCAGCTATTGTTTCCACTAATTTTGACATGTTCTGTTTAACTGAAACTTGGCTATTGAAAGAAATTTGCAGCACCAGTTACTTTCCAACATCATACAGTGTTTATCGAAGGGACAGGGATAACGGTGCAACCGGGAAGAAATTTGGCGGGGGGGTGTTGACAGCCGTGCGGGATAACATTAAATCATGCAGAAGGGTAGATTTGGAAACCTATGCAGAGTGCGTATGGGTTGAATTATTAACACGCGATGGGTTTAATTACCTCGTCGGAAACTATTATTTTCCTCCGCTCTCGGATTCGAGTGTGTTCGTAAACCATTTACAAAAGCTTGAGCAGCAAATTGATTTTTCGAAATTTAAAGTACATATGTACGGCGATTTTAATCTACCAGGAGTGAACTGGTCGACCGGCATAAGCAGTAGTGAAAATAATCAAACGGTGGTAAAAGTGTCACGTCTAGTAGATTTATTAATTTTAATGGTCTAACTCAGCATAATCAGTTCACGAACACGGCCGGGAATGTTCTTGATCTTTTTCTTTCAAACTGCCCTATAGACAGTGTCATGCCAGTTAGCGATACTCTTGTGAAACCTGACGTTTTTCACCCGCCCTTCATCGTATGTTCTTTTTGCCGGTGAGGTCTCGTGACAGACAAAATTTAACCAGATATGACTATCATAAGGGTGATTATTTAGGTTTATATACGTTCCTTCGTGATAATAACTGGTCAACGGTTCTTCATGATAGCTGTGTAGATTCTGCGACTGAATCCTTGACGAAGATAGTGAAAAATGCAATCGATGCGTTCATTCCAAAGCGATTGTCTAAGCCCTCTAAATACCAGTTCTGGTTCTCAAGGGAGCTGAAACACTACATGCGTAAAAAATAACACTATCATAAACTGTTTAAAAGAACCGGCATTGAGTTATGGTACATAAAGTTCAGTGTTTACAGAGCACTTGTAAAGAAACTGTTTAAACACGACAAATTCATTTATAAAAAATCGGTAGAAAAAAGTCTCTACCGTGAGCCTGATAAATTCTGGCGATTTGTCAGGAAGCACACGAAAGAGTCTGCAAGAAATATTTATTTACGTACTGATACGGACTACGTTACAAACCCTGAAAAAATAGCTAATTTATTCCAAACTTACTTTCGTGAATGCTATTCCAAGGAAGAATTCAAAAGCAAGTCTTCAATCTGCGCTACTGGTTGGAACGACAATTTCACATTTAGTGAGGTCGACATAAATGATATTTTAGAGGCAATTCAAAAATTAAAACCGAAGAAGTCAGCGGGAGATGATACAATACCTAACTTTATTATTAAAGGATGCGCTGATTTGTTTGCCCCTTTACTTATGCACATATTTAACCTATCGCTGAGAAATGGTGTTTTCCCATGTCTTTGGAAAAGGTCAGTGATAGTGCCAATACACAAAGCCGGTGACGCGTCTAGGGTAGATAACTACCGCCTCGTGTCTTTGTTGTGTTCTTTTTCAAAGGTTTTTGAGATAGTTTTACATGTTCGTCTTTCTTTTTACTTTTGTCGAAAACTAAGCACCGTTCAGCATGGATTTATAAAAGGGCGTTCAGTAGAAACGAACCTTTGTTCTCTCCTTGATTATACTGTCCCATTTGTTCTTACACGTGGGCAAGTTGATATTGTGTATTTTGACTTATCAAAAGCCTTCGATAAGGTTAATCATGACTTACTCTTGTATAAGCTCTTTTTATACGGCGTTTCGTCGTCTCTTTTAAACTTATTCCGTAGTTATCTGTCGGATAGAAAGAGTAGAATAAGAATCTTGAATTGTTTCCCAGATGTATTTACTCCAACTTCGGAAGTCCCTCAGGGATCGAATTTGGGGCCGCTACTTTTTCTTATATTCATCAGTGATATAGAATTGTGCATACAAAATGCGAAACTGCTCTTATTTGCGGACAATATTAAGCTTTATCTTAGTATCCATTCGGAAGATGATTGTGCTCTTTTGCAAGAAGATGTATCACGTATCTCAAACTGGTGCTCATGTAACTTTTTGCTAGTCAATCCAGATAAAACAAAAGTGCTATCTATGTGCAGAAAACGTGAAAGAATTTTACATCAATATTTTATCGGCAATTCCACCATTGAACGTGTGGAACAAGTTCGTGACCTTGGTGTTTATTTCGATAGTAATCTTACCTTTTCATATCATGTTACACAAATTGTTGCTTCTGCCTTTAGAACAATGGGGATGATATCACGTTTGACGCATGATTTTTCAAATATAATGTGCGTAGTTCGATTGTTTTGTTCCCTTGTACGAGTTAAACTTGAGTTTTGGAGTTCAGTGTGGAATTCGCTAACAATGACCGACGTTGCACGGATAGAAAGAGTTCAGAAGCGATTTATACGCCTTGTTTACGATAGATATTTTGATAGAAAATGTTATTTTGATTATGAATACCTTCTTAGAGAACTTTCACTCCAGAACCTTTCAAAAAGAAGGATTGCTCGTGACATTATATTTTTATACAAAGTGGTTCACGGCCAAATTAATAGCAATCTTGTGTCGTCTTTAAACTTTCATGTAGCGGCCCGAGTCGTTAGAAACTCAAGCGTGTTTTATAGATCTATCCAAACGAGACCGTCCCCTTTGGCTAGAATGCAAATTTGTTTAAATGAATTTCCGACTCATGTAGACATATTCTTAAATTTTGCTGCGTTCAAACGACTACTTGATATGCATATTTTTGGTTTATGATTGTGAAATGTTTTAATTTCGAGAGCATATGTCGGGGGGGGGGGGGGGGGGCTTGAGATTGTGTACTGTTTTAGGTGTTCTTTTTTTTTCTTTTTTTAAACTTTTTATGTGCCACCACACTGTAACCAATAGGTTGTTCTGGGGCATTATACAAATAAAGGATTATTATTATTATAAAGCATTTCCTCTTCCTCGCTATATTGTGAGCGGCCTATTTACAGTGCGATAAAACGACCTTATATTCTTCCTGATTTTTTTTTTTTGCATTACAGGACTTGGAGATACAAGGCTTGTGTACCCGCGTTTAATAGAGTCTCGCAGTTCTGGTAATCTGCTGACGCTTTTCATCAATGAGAAAATCACATTATCTTTGCAACCAGTCGACATTTTTCCGGATAAGTTTTTGCTACAGTTCAATGATGGGGAAATCTCAGTAAACCAATACGTAAGAGTTTTCAGTAATTTTTTTCATGTTCCAACCACTGATATAACAATATATGATAAAAGTGTAGTTTCATTCTGTTTCTTTTGCATTTCAGATTAAGGGTGCGGAACTTAGAAAGATGGTATATTATGATGAGGATCAAAGGGCGGTTGTTTCACTTAAAAAAGATAATGGACTGCACGTGGTAACTTTATATTTGCTTGAATTTTATGTGTTGTTAAAACTACAAATATGAAGGATATAATATGACTTCTGTGATGCCTGTGCTTCATCCGAGTGCGTTGAGATGATGGAGACAGACAAATGCAGACACTTATTTTTGAGACTGCTACTTACTTTAACAATTTTACGAATATAATAATACTTCAAGAGCACTCAGATAAAAGCAGTTAGGTGATCGAGCCATTATGCTTTATAAGATATAACATTATCAACCTTTCTCAATACATATCCTTGAATAGATTTTGCAGAACTAAAAATACGTTTGTACACCTTCCGTGTAAACATGAAATTCACTAATGCATTTCAAATATAGGAACAGAGGCCGAAATATCTGGGGAATGTAATATGTTGTGTAAATGATCTGGCACAGATATTTTGGCTCCGCAGTGATACAAAATTCCACAATATGTATCATTTTGTAGAAATTATGAATGTATGTGTCTATAGTGCCAAATTGCAAGCGTTGTTACAAGCTGCATTCAAGGAACAAGAGAGAGTGGAAATCTTGCAGCGACAACATGTTTACTACATCTGTCTTGGTAACCGTGAACAAGAAAATAACATCAGCCAATTGTAGCGCAGAAACATTGGGCAACGGTTGGGAGTATCTTGTTACTAAGTTTGAAATTTATCACGACAGGTAACACTGGCCCCCTCAATATGTAAATTGTCAATCTGCAAAACTGTAAAGCTTGAAGGATATAAAGTTGTCATTATGTTGCAGCATCCAGTATTCATTCTACAATTTGAGCTAAATTTACCTTCAAGTATACAAGACGCTTGTCTTGGATACTTCTTGTACGTGTCTTTCTTTTGGGGCTATTTTAAATGATTAACTATGATGGATGTACTTCAGTGCCTATTTCATGTGCAGAAATGAGCGCATTTTCGTAAATAAAGCGCTGAAGTTCACTGACTGAGGATTATTGCGCCAAAATACGTCACGACTAGAAGATAAATAAAAGAAACCAGTAATGCATTACAGGAAAGCTGCAGAGGTCTTTAATTCAAATAAACAAACAGTAAAAGTTGTAATCTAGAGACCTTAGAAGTCACATGTTGGAAGCTTTATTTCGATCTTAATAGTAGGAGCATTTAATAGTCAATTAAAATATCAACGTAAACCTGCACGTTGCTGTGCGCCGACAGGTAAGAACGCGCGAGAAAGGATATGAATACTTGCAAAAGCGAAGAGATCAGCTGGGTCAGATGACCCATGCTTGCCCCTAAGCTGGGATGCCGTCAATGACGTCACGACACTCTAGACAAATAATGGGCGGCAGAGAAGAACACCGCATGCCCGGCGGCAATCGTGCACATATTTGTCAAACTAAATGCGGTTTACGTTTATCTCTTCCCAAGATAAGTGTGATAACTGAATTCACAAGACTAAAAGCTATGGAAGTCCGCTTTTAACTCATATCTCTCGAAAAGTACTTCATTTTCTTTTTTTAATAATAGCAATGCGTACACACGCTCTACGCTAAAAGAAACTTCATTGGGGCAAAAATAATCGTACCCTTATTCGTCTAGTGAACGTCGAATTAAACTTTCGTGCAGAACGATACATAAATCATAGCTAATTTTTTTATTTATTTATACTACTGATTCTTGTTCAGGACCATTGTAGGAGCTAAAAGCTAAGCTGAAACCCATATTAAAAAAAAAAAAGAAACAGACTGATTTAGGATCTTTTTTTTTAATTTAGAGATGGTTGGTGTTAACTTGCAGGGTCAATTGCTTCGTTTTTAAATTGAAATTTAATGACTCGTTAGTTAAGGTCATCTATCGAAATACTAACACTTTAGAACGTCTCTGTGCGTAAACTCTGCACACTACTATAATGTATACATTTCCACAACGTAAATGTTGGCTTACATCTGCCTCGCAGGAAGGAATAATCCACGACTCACTGCGAATAAGACCAGCTGCCCTATTGGAGCGATCGAATGATGAATTCATTGTTCATGAAATTTTTGAGGTTCAAGATACTTTTCCAAGTACAGACGGCGACAGTGAGTAAGCCATCGACACTTATATTCGCGCATGTGAGGAATTTTATCGTAGATATAGCGGACATTTTACCAGAACTATGATTCATAGAAACTCCAGTATGCTAAAGTACTAATATTTAAACAACCCGCAGCGTTTCCAGTACCGGAGTCTGATCTGCCTGTTAAACTCATCACGCCGAGGAATTCACAAGGTACAGTAGTTGTGATTTTGACTCCTGAGGCAGAAGGAATATTACTTTATGAGCTAACAAATTGGAAGATTTTATTTCCAACCAGGTAAAATGCCCCAAAATGTGCACCCTGAATTAGCAATTCTGACGGACATTGACCGGTATGAACATTATACAAAACCAATGGATGTGGCGCTTTACGCTGCCGTTCTGACAGCTGCAGTAAGTAGTAAATATCTCTGCGATTTCAACTTGAACTGCTTTGGAGTAATTGTGGTTAGTGAAACTTGTAATGTGTCAGATATGTCAGTCGTCAATGGTAAGATTGTAAGAATACCAGGCAATGCGAAAAACATCAGCCCACATGTAACTCCGTTCATTTAATGTTTGCCTCACGTTCTTGTTTGTAAATTTTAATCAGTCCAACAAAATGTTGTTTTTTTTTGCCTGACGCCCATTTACGCCTATATTTTTGTTTTTGTTTTTTGCCACAGATTTACGGCATTATTTCTGCTACAGACTGAGATATTTCTCAGAAAGGTTTAGGCCATTAAACAGAGAGACCATTATTTTTACAAATCCAAGCTACGGTCAGAGTTCCACCGGAGTTGAGCAAATCAAAGCAAAGAACCGTCGCGCTTCCTCAGACTCTCCAAACATCTGGAGAGGAGTGCGGCCATGTCACGGAATATATTGTTCTTGAGTCTCAGTCCCCGTGCCTCATCCTGCTTTATCCCTCCATCCTAAAACACTATTTGTCCGTTATACCTTGGTAACAGGTATGACTGCGCGCCAGAGGCTCATTGCTGTCGCTATAAGGTCACTTTTCCTCGGCTGTACTAAGGTAGCCTCAGTCGTTTCACTTTTTTCGCAATTTTCATCCCTATTGATCCGTGGCACTGCAAAACCACGTGCAGATTAACAGGAGCGTTGCTGGTTTCGTGGAACGTGAAGATTCGGGAAGGTATCACAATGTATTGCGTGTAAACTCTAGAACCCAAGTTTCTTTAGACAATTTAAGGGAAGCAGTGGTGTTGTTAACTCTGTTTGACTTTAAGTCCGGTCGCGGCCAATACTACGATTCGATAAGTCAATCAAGCAGCGCTAAAAACGATTCGTCGCGTGTTCCCTTTCTTTGGGGGTCAAATATCATTGGCGAAGCCAGGGATGGGCGAAATACGTGCAAATATGTATCGAAATACAAATACAAAATACTTCGTCAAAAATGTATTTAATTGCAAATCTAATTGCATTTCCGAAAAAGCATTTAAGTACAAGATACAAATACAACCAAATGTATTGGGTTTTCTCTAAATACTTTTCCAAATACTTTCCTCAAAATTTGCGTCAGCGACTTCAGGGCACCTGCAACGGGTTTCTGGGTATCTCATTTTAATTTTGCATCGCACACTCGGGAGTTAGTGTGCGAGGCTCTAGTAACCTAATAGAAATGTAATCACAAAAATGTAATCAGCTTGGACGTAATAGGTGAAAAAAGCACAAAGCTTCAAGCAGCTTTTTTTGTCGATTACATTTTGGTATAGACCAACAAAGAACCGAGACGACCAACACGCGCAGCACTAGCTAGAGAATTTTTTTATTGTTGCAACTCGCACCAGTTACGAAAATCTGGACGACTTGCGCATTTAGAATGTTCCAGGCAAAAACATGGATGAAAATCAGGCTGGAAAGCATCACAAGTTGTCACAGGCACTTATTTAGCCACTCTGCCTGTGAACGTCGATTTCGTCACTATTCTTGCCCTGGACTAGCCCCGTAATCACAAAGTCACAAAACACTCGTGCTTGATTGAGAGACACTGCATTCGGTGCAGAACGTAGTTTTTTTCCTGCTCTGGACAGTGACAATAAATTTGAGGAATGTATTTTTGCCCACAAAATTGTATTTAATTACAATTGTATTTGAAATACCCACGTTTTAGTATTTAAATACACACGTCAAATACATTACCCAATTTGTAATTAAATGCAAATGCAAAATACACAAAGTATTTGAAATACGTATTTCAAATACTTGTGTTTGAAATACTGCCCATCCCTGGGCGAAACCAATCGCGCACAAAAAAAAAACAAAAAAACAACGCAGCATCGCTGCTAGTGCGTGATTCCTGTAGTCAGTGATAGAAAGCGCACAAATATGACGAGCGTCGTGACGATGCGTATTTGGCGTTGTTTGATTGGCTTCATTGGATCTTAGTGTCGGCTGTGGTCTGACTGAATGCGAAATGGAGTGCCGACTGCCGTCAAAAATCTCGCCCCCCCCCCCGGAGCCCGAGTCAAAAATAAAAAGAACGCTGCGGCTACTTTTCTTTTTTTATAAACCACAAGAAGAATTAAGTTAAGATTTCAAGCTTAAATCAACCCTCAAAAGCAACCATTAAGGACGCCATATTGACATGCAGACAGACACCCTGTTATAAAACATTCATGAAATAGTATACACTTGCGCGGCGAAGCTTAGCGAATGCGTACTTGAAATTGAAATGACTTTGCCTTTCTTACCTATGACGGACGAGGCACATTTTGACAAGAAGACCCCGAAACAACATTACGCTCAACTCCGACAGTCAATGGAGACGTTGCACTCATCACCACTTGCCCGACCTTTCCGCTACCGCACCAGATCAGGTCCCTCCTTCCCCAATAGCCCCTACACGAACGTTGAGCATCTCCGGACCGCTTGCACCACAGCAATCCGAACTCCGCAGTACCCTCCTTTCCAGACTGGCGGGAGTGGCTGGAATCGGCGGTTCACGTCGATCAGCTGGCTCTTGCCAGCTTAGCGTAGGAGCACCTCTAGGGTCTTTA